TGTCAGCTGTCCTCCATGCACTACTTTGCACTGTAGTCCGTCGTATGAGTTCCGGATAATATTGACAATCTTCTCAGGAACTCCGTAGTGTCGAAGAAGTTTCCATAACGTCCTCCTATCTACACTGTCGAATGCCTTTTCATAATCAATGAAGTTGATGTATGATGATGAGTTCCACTCAACTGATTGTTCGACGATGATCCGTAGTGTTGCAATTTGGTCTGTGCACGACCGATCCTTACGGAATCCAGCTTGTTGATCTCGAAGTTGGGCGTCTACTGCATCCTTCATCCGGTTCAGCAACACTCTGTTGAAGACTTTCCCTGGTATTGACAGTTGTGTTATGCCTCTGTAGTTTTCACATTTGCTCAGATCTCCTTTCTTTGGAATCTTGACGAGGTGTCCTTCTTTCCAGTCCATCGGCACTTGTTCCTCCTGCCAAATCTTTTTGAATAGAAGATAAAGCATGCTTGTGGTTGTTTCGATGTCTGATTTCAGTGCTTCAGCTGGTATGTTGTCGGGTCCTGCTGCCTTCCCGTTCTTGATTTGTCTGACGGCCATTCTAATTTCCTCCGTAGTTGGTGGATTGACATCTATAGGAAGATCTATGTGTGCTGCTTCGATGTCCGGTGGATTCATTGGAGCCGGCCTATTCAGGAGTTCCTCGAAGTATTCTACCCATCTGTTACGTTGTTGAATTTCGGTGATTGGCTTGCCTTCCTTGTCTTTGACCGGTCTCTCTCGTTTACTGTATTTCCCTGCTAGTTTCTTCGTTGTATTGTGAAGCTGTTTCATATTTCCTTCTCTAGCAGCTTTTTCTGCCGTCGTTGCTAGTTCTTCCACGTATTTCTTCTTGTCGGCTCTAATGCTCCTCTTCACTTATTTGTTTGCTTCTATGTATTCAGCTTGTGCTTGGACTTTCTCTGCTCGTGTTCGGCTGTTGTTTATTGCTTCCTTCTTGTTCTTCCTTTCTTTGATCTTGTCCAGTGTTTCTGTAGAGATCCATTCCTTGTGATGGTATTTCTTTAGACCGAGAACCTCTTAACACGTTGAAGTTAATGCTTCTTTGATGCTTTTCCAGTTGTCCTCCATAGTAGTTTCTTCTTCTTTCAGTAGATCTTGTAAGGCTTGGAACCTGTTGTTGAGAGCTATCTTGAATTCATTGAGTTTGACAGTATCTCGAAGGAAGGCTGTATTGAACCTTTGTATTGCTGTTTGTCCACTTGTCCAGTTCTTTTTTAGCTTCAGTTTTAAATTGGCTACAACTAGGTGGTGATCTGAAGCTACGTCAGCACCTCTCCTGGTTCTCACATCTTCCATTGTCCTTCGGAATTTTTTGTTAATGCAAATATGATCTATTTGGTTCTCTATAGTGTGGTCCGGTGAGATCCATGTAGCCTTATGTATACGCTTGTGTGGAAATATTGTGCCTCCTATGACCAATTTGTTGAATGCACATAGATTTGCAAATCTTTCTCCATTTTCGTTTCTTTCTCCCAGTCCATGTCGTCCCATAATATCTTCATATCCAGTGTTGTCTATTCCGACTTTGGCATTTAGATCTCCCATTAGAATGGTGAGGTCCTTTCTTGGGCATTTCTCAATGATTGACTGCAGCCGCTCGTAGAACTGATCTTTAATTTCGTTGTTGCTATCATTGGTGGGTGCATAACATTGGATAATATTCATTAAGACCCCCTCCTTCTTTGTTTTGAATGATGCTTTGATGATTCTGGATCCGTGAGATTCCCATCCAACAAGTGCATTTCGTGCTATTTTGGACAGCATAAGAGCGACTCCCTGAGTGTGTGGAGCATTGTCCTCTTCGTGACCGGAGTATAGCAGCATCTCTCCTGTAGCTAGCCTTTTCTGTCCAGCTTGGGTCCAGTGGGCTTCGCTGATTCCCAGTACTGCTAAGTTGTATCTCCTCATTTCCATTGATATTTGACTGGTCTTCCCGGTTTCCCACATTGTTCCATGTACCTATAAAAATTTTTGCTCTGGTTGTTAGAAGGGGCATCGGCCTCGTGGCTTCCGAAGGAACTCGGCTTTCACCATGAAGCGTCATAATTCTTCTAAATGAAGACCTTCTAACTCCCAGGGCAGAGTTAAAATGGTTTGGATTATTTTTTCTGGTAAGCGTTTTTTTTTATATTTAATTTGCTTTATTTTATTTATGTATTTGGCTTTAAGCTACATTTCAATGTGTTATCGCTAGTGACACTATCTAGCCACTCAAATCAGAATACGCTAGACAAGGCTCAAACCTACGACTTGACATTCAGAACTCAATCGCTCTTAATCAGTTTTTCATTAACTTAAGACAATTTGATATAAAATTAGACTCACTATTAATGTTGCATTTTTTCTTACTAGTAACTCTGACCCGGCCAGGAGCCCCCCTGGGGCTACTGCCGGTCCCAAGCCCGGATGAAGGAGAGGAGGGTCGGGCATGAGGTTAGCGACCCCATCCTGTAGAAAACTAACTCGCTAAAAAACGCTAACCAGAAAAGAAAATTCAAATCATTTAAACTCTACCCTGGGAGTTAGAAGGTCTTCATTTAGAAGAGCTATGACGCCTAATGGTAAAAGCCTAGTTCCTTCGGAAGTCACGAGGCTGATGCCTCTTCTGACAACCGGAGAAACTATTAATTTAGGTACACGGAATGCTCGTAGAATGTGGGAGATCAAGAGAGTCTTCCAAATTTCTACAATAACGACATATAAAATTTTTTATTCATAATATGTTACATATTTCCTTACTTTAACATTTAATATCTTGCATAAACATAATGAGTTTTTCTGTTATGTAATTTAGCTTAGAAATTCTATTAGATTAATATGATGATTCAGTACATGAAAGAAAAAAAGAGTTAATATTTCTAAAAGTTTACACCATGTTAATCAAAGCTTCGTTTTCACAATAGAATTTATTATACTAAACAACTAACAATCTGTTATTCATTATTGTAATATTGATTACTTAATGTTTCTTGTGACAATAAGTTCTGCTTATTTTGTTATTGTGATTTTCAACAGGTTTTATGACTTCTAATATGTTTTAATGATATATATATATATATATATATATATATATATATATATGACTGGAGTTGTTCTTAATCCTAGTTAGTTAATTTCATCATGTCTTTCATAGACTAATTCACTTTTATACTCAAATTCAATTGACAGTATAATCAATCAGTCAGTCAGCTACAACGTAGGACCAGGCACATATATGCATCGGTCCAAGTTGCCATACCTCATTAACGCAACAAGATGGACACTGGATTCATAAAAGTAGTTAATTCAGAGGTGGTAATATATAAAAGAAAGATCGCAATAAGAACATAATAATACAGGAAGAAAGAATTAGTTCGTAGAAGGAAAGATTCGAAGCAATTTTAATCTCTTAGTTTAAGGGAAGATAGAGAGTGTATACACCGACGCCATTGTGATCGATTCTGAGCCATGTCACCAAGAGTCTCCAACCATTGGTTACGATAGTCACGCGGACCCCAACCAAGTAGTCTGCATCTACCAACATGGCTCGGATTAGAAGTTAGTGACTTCAAGCACTGACAGTATAATATTAAAAGTTTAATGCGAAATATTTTAAGAAAAGTATGTTTCAAATAGTTTGATTGAAATCATGAACTGATTGATGTTAGATCATCATTGAAAACCTGGAAGCACTGCATGACCGTTTTGTGCTTAAGTAGGACTCTTCAGCAGTGCGCATCCACGATTCCGCCCACGGGGTTCGAGCCCAGGGCCTTCAGTCTCGCGCGCAAACGCTTAACCTATAGATCATTGAGTCAGTCAGCATCCAACAGTGTTAATGTCTAACTTCAACCAATCCACGAAATTGCGCGACCATCTTCCGTTGTACTGAGGTAGAGACCTGTCTCTACCGGACACAGGTTTTGACTCAACAAACTAAACTTATAAAATACAGTGTCTGTAGGACATGAATGAATTACTTTATATGATGAACATTGTTTGTTAGAATGAATGTAGCTAATAATCATTGCGTAAATTAGTGAATAATTTTTCTATAATTCAAACGTTTAATAAGATATGATGAACAAATATAGAAACAGTCATACATATATAAAGATTGTACATGTTTAGAAATGCGTAATTAAATCATCTGAATAAGTACAAATTGATTGAATGTATAGTTGATAAAAGGAAAATAATTTCAAAATTTTGTAATCGAATCAGACTTCATCTACTTCTTAAATCAAACACTTTCATATCTGAAGTCTAATAATATATTGCTTGACTGATCAAATTGGCATACATTTAAAAAAAATTAAATTCAAACGTAGATAATGATGTGGTTACAAGTCATTACTTTTCAGAAGCACCCATTTATGATTTCCTTTTACGACGATCAACAAACTTGTTTTTCCTTTTGTTGCCTTGGTATTGAATATTCACAACTGTAAATCTTATAGTTCGTATTTATCTACCAACACCTACAGCTTAAACTATTCAAAATTCCTAATGTGGAAATAAGAACAACACATATCAGTGAACAATACTGTTTTCAACTAGATCTTCATCTGTTTTTTCTCTAATATGCAGTAATATATTTATGTGCATATATTTAAGGAAATACTAAACCTATCATGCTAGTTTGTGTGAGACAATGGTAACGATGAAATAGATTACATGTTTAAACATATATGTTTTACTGCATCATTCAAGTAAAGTCTGATAGAGGTCTAATTAACATCAATAAGGTCCTTTTATATGTATTGTATTATTACAGCCTAGACAGTGTAATGACACTTTTCAGGTGACAACCATATCTAACTATGTAAGTGTAATATTACGTGTATACTTGTTTATATTGTTACTTTCATTTCTAATTATGTATGTACACAAATACTCGTTACTATCCTCGTAAAAATTTTCATTGTAATCTCTTCGTTTTGGTGCTGTCATTATATTGTTACTCATTTCCTATCATCCTCCCCCTCAATTTTCAGACTGTAACAATTGCTGTATATGGATATTTTGGTACATGTTTACTTGCATGGCAGTATTTAGACCCATCGAAAGGATACGAAGGTCATGATGTTGATATTTATGTGCCAATTTTCGGTTTACTACGTTTCTTCTTCTATATTGGATGGCTGAAGGTTAGTTCCATGTGTTATGTCTTTAGACGTTGATTGATACCACGTTCAAACGTCACTAACCAGATTTCTGATTAAAACTGTTTCCTGTTCCATGTCGACTATTTCTTCCGTACCCTAGTATACTAAACTTGACGTTCACAGTTAACCTTGGGCCTTTTGCAAGCTAAGCTCTTACTGGCTCGGTACATCCAAGCTTTTCTCTATCCCTTGCATTGAATTCAACGGCGAGTCAGCAGTCAGCTTCTATTACATTATATTTCAACCACATGTAGGTTTATGTACAGAAATACGTCATACCATAAAATAAAAAAATCACACTTATACATAAGTAGGCTAAAAAGGTCCATAAATAGTGCAATCTGTAAGTAATTAATTGGCAGCAAACTGGAAATAATAAGCTGCATCGTAATGGTTAGTGAGTTGAAGAAAAGCTAACGATAACGAATGTATAAACATAGTAATTTAGTTACTTAGTAATATGTCAATAAGAATCCATAAATTATGAGCAGAGATGGATGGTGACTAGCAGTGGAATTTAGGACGCTCGTTTCGTTTTGTTTTGGATTTGTCAGTTGGATTTACCTGCATCACAAAGTTGATATTCACTCCGAGACTCGAACCCACTACCGTTCACTTCAAACGCCATTTCGTTATTCAGATAGTTACTAGCTTGTGCAGTGGGTTAAAGTTTTAATTCATTTTATATTGCTTGTTTGAATCTTTCCAGTGATGTTTATGACTGAGATTGATCCACCAAACATTTTATGGAGTTATCGGTCCTTTAATCTTCGTTCTGAAACATTCACCACTATTATTATTATTATATGTAATATCTATAACTTTATATATATATATATATATATATATATATATATATATATATATATATATGGTTGGAGTTTTGGTGTGTATATATTAGACGTCTTAACAACTCACTATCATATACATTGATGTTATTTTGGCTCTTAAAAGTTGTGGTGAACAAGCAGTAAGAATTAATGCATGTTTAGTTGATACTCTTCAATACCTGTATGTTAATATATCCAACTGCTTCTACGTACATTTATTTATTTATTTTGTTTTGAATAAAACTTTTTCATATTTGACCGTGTTATGCATTAGATTTGTGTTACACAATTCAGACGTCCTTTATAGATTAAGCGTATTTAACCAATAGAAATAATAAGACTTTTAAGATTACATTACTTTAATGAATCTTATTAGTTTCTTAAATCCATAATATAAATATTCAACTTTAATAATAGTGCCTCCAAATGCCCTGGTACGGCCGAGAGTGGGGAGAGTCCGCTCTCCCTCTCCAAATGCTCTCACGCACGCATCTGCTTGCGCCTCACTGGACGCAAAAAAGCCACAGTAAAAAGACCCATAAGAACCGAACTGAGTAGCGAGGAAACCAAAAGTAGGTTCCAGGAACAACTGAGATCACGATTAGGTAGTTCTGAAGACGAGGCTGACCCAGATGTTGCTTGGAATGAAATACAAGCAGCTGTGGAAACAGCAGTGACATCTATTAGCGACTTAAACCACAGAGTTTCAAAGAACCAGTGGATTTCTTCAAAGTCTATCACACTGATGGATTCTCGCAAACTCGTCCCATCAGGTTCTGAACATGATGAAGAGCGACAACAAATTAGATCTAGGTTAAGAAAAAGTCTAAGAAACGACCGTGAGCAGTGGTGGGTAACGAAAGCAAAAGAGATGGAAAAGGCGGCGACTATAGGGAACACAAGACAACTTTACAGACTAATAAAAGAAACTGGAATTAATAAGTCAAGTGTAAGTGAGATTATATCGGAAAAAGACGATACACTCATCTGCTCCCAGTCCAGGCGTTTAGAACGATAGGCGGAACATTTCAGAGAACTCTACAACTACCCTCCATTCCCAGACAGTGAATGGAACATTGAAGTAGGTCCCCCAACTCTTGCTGAAGTTCAAAAGGCTATAGTTAATCTGAAACGAGGAAGGGCAGCTGGTCCAGATGGATTGGCTCCAGAGGTCTTTAAGGATGGTGGTCCAATTTTAGCGATTAGGTTGACTAATATTTTAGCTAAGATCTGGGAGTTAGATGTTATTCCATCTAACTGGTCACAATCACTTATCGTCCCAATATATAAGAAAGGGTCAAAATCATCCTGTGACAACCACAGAGGGATTAGTTTAACTAATATAATATCTAAAATACTAGCCTCGATAATTATCAGACGCCTAACTAAGACTCGTGAACTGCAAACACGAGAGACTCAAGCTGGCTTTAGACCTGGTCGTCGACCACATATTCACCATTCGTCAGATTCTAGAACACAGGCATACTTATCGGCATCCGACAATGGTGGTCTTTCTCGACTTTAAAGCAGCATTTGACTCGGTAGACCGCGAGATTCTGTGGCAGTGTCTGTCATTGAAAGGCGTACCCCAGAAGTACATAAACCTTGTAAAGGCTCTTTACTCGAACACTACTAGTCGAGTCAGAGCTTATGGCGAACTGTCATCTACTTTTGCAACCTCAAAGTGGTGTCCGTCAAGGCTGTCCACTTTCCCCATTTTTGTTTAACTTCATCATAGATCTACTGATGGAAATAACTTTCTCGTCGACTGAGTTCTCGGGTATTGATCTCCTACCAGGAGGTCCAATTATCGACTTAGAATACGCAGATGACATAGTCCTGTTTGGTGAAGACGCTGACAAAATGCAGAGTCTTCTGGTAGCACTGAGCAACAATGCCAGAATGTTTGGAGTGCGCTTCTCTCCCTCTAAATGCAAGTTGTTGCTTCAGGACTGGTCTGCGTTAACACCTGAACTAAGGATAGGGAGTGAAGTAGTCGAACGCGTTGACAACTTCACTTATCTTGGAAGTCTGATCAGCCGTAATGGGTTGGTATCGGACGAAATCTCAGCACGGATTCGAAAAGCTCGATTGGCTTTTGCCAACTTACGTCACCTGTGGCGAAGGTGAGATATCCGTCTATCAATAAAAGGACGGGTATACTGCGCGGCAGTCCGTTCTGTTTTAATTTACGGCAGCGAAACATGGCCATTAAGAGTAGACACTCGTAAGCTATTAGTATTTGACCACAGATGCCTTAGAAATATTGCTGGCGTCTGCTGGGATCACCGGGTAAGTAATAGTGAGGTTAGACGCAGGGTATTGGGGAATGATGGTAAATCAGTTGATGAGGTTATGAATCTTCATCGACTGAGATGGTTGGGCCACGTGTTACGTATGCCTGAACACCGACTACCACGACGTGCAATGCTATCCGGTATTGGAGATGGTTGGAAGAAAGTTAGGGGCGGCCAAACCAAAACGTGGCATCAGTGCTTGAAGTCACTAACTTCTAGTCTGAACCATGTTGGTAGATGCAGACTACTTGGTTGGGGTCCGCGTGACTATCGTAACCAATGGTTGGAGACTCTTGGTGACATGGCTCAGAATCGATCACAATGGCGTCAGTGTATACACTCCCTGTCTTCCCTTAAACTAAGAGATTAAAATCGCTTCATATCTTTCTTTCTACGAACTAATTCTTTCTTCCTGTACTATATCTCTATATGCAATCTTTCTCTTACATATTACTACCTTTGACCTAACTACTGCTATGAATCCGGTGTTCATCTTGTTGTGCTGATGCGGTATGGCAACTTGGACCGATGCACATATGTGCCTGGTCTTACGTTGTAGTTGACTGACTGAAATGCTCTCACATGGCCACGCGTATATAGCCTCCGACAGGGAAGTCCTACTCACTGCCTTCTCGTGGTGGGTGTGTTGTTTACGAAATTGAGAGGACGAAAAGCGAATGTCCGGCGCTTTAACCGGGTCGGTGGACACAGGGAGTCCACCTAGGGGAGTTGGAATGCCCTGATTACAAACCAATGGTGCACATGGACTCCAGTATCCTGAAGAAACAAATGGGGTACGAACCAGTAGTTGGTCACCGGCTACCATGGGACTTCATCTCCTTCCGATGCTCCACTGCCTTGTGGATCAGACCTTCAGGTTGAGGGCTCCGGATGTGGTTCCCTAAGAAAACCACCTGCTTCGGTTTGAACACCCAAGCAGTATCACAGCCCTCACACATATCAAATGAGATCTGTGTCTCGCATATGCATTTGGTGCCTCCTTGTACCAATATCTGCGTGTTAAAATAAATAAATAAATAATAATAGCAGAAATATTACTGTAGAATCTCGTCCTAATGAATGTGAATCGGAAGGGGTTTTGTGGAGATTTTAGTAATTTCAATAATTGACTCATGATTTTAACTATTGGAATATAAATCCGTTTCTTTCTGGATTATTGTTAATAGTGATAAATACTTCTATGGAATATTTTCAATCATAACTAATTTGTCGAAAAGTTGATCAAATAGAGTGATTTATTTTTAACATTTTTACAATACTAATTTAGATGTTACTCATTGAAATTTATTAATCAAGTGATTCGATTTTTAGGTTTCACTGTGAACAAAGAGTTAAAACAACAACAACAACAATGATCCTTAGTTGTTACCACCCAATAAACATAGTTACAGTGTTTTACACTGTCATTTATACTTTATAATGTTAGAATCGAATTTCTTCTATCAATAATCAAAGTTTTAAGTACTCTGTTTATAGGGTGGTATCTTTTCAAGGTTTCTTACTTTTAGAGTTTTTGTTTTCTAAGTTTAAAAAAACCCACCAATCTCTTTCTTGATTCTGATATTCTCAACTCTACAGTTTATTTGTATCCAACTTGTTTGTTTTATAACTTAATTCGACTTGTAATTTGTATTTTTACTAATAGGTTGCAGAGTCATTAATTAATCCATTTGGTGAAGATGTTGATGATTTTGAAATTGAATATTTAATTGAAAGAAATTTACAAGTGAGTTATTTTGTATGTTTAGTTATAATTCATTTTCATATATATTCTACAGCAATTTGGAAGACTCTCTTGATCTCCCACATTCTACGAGCATTCCGTATACCTAAATTAATAGTTTCTCCGGTTGTCAGAAGGGGCATCAGCCTCGTGACTTCCGAAGGAACTAGGCTTTTACCATTAGGCGTCATAGCTCTTCTAAATGAAGACCTTCTGTTATAACGTGAAAAATATTTGATGCGGATTGAGGGTAGCGAAATATTGATCGGACCAAAGACGCACAAACACGTAGAACGACCTAGGGTTCTGATTGGTCTCGCTTCCCTGTCTAACCCAGCCAATTGAGTCCAGAACGAAAGTCTCAGCCTCGGATATATGAATCATTATATTTCAAACATACTTTGTTTATATACCAGTCAAACAGTCCACAACGTACCATAAAATAGAAGATAACATTGTACAACAATGGCCAGTAGGAAAATGACACGTTAAATAAGTATTGACCAATAAGATGATACTATTTCATGTCCAAGGATAGCATTAGGCCTAACAGGATAATTTTTGGGATATTTTCCTGAATATCCCAACACCTTCTAACTCCCAGGGTAGAGTTTAAATGATTTGAATTTTCCGGGCTTGGGACCGGCAGTAGCCCCATCGGGGATTTATATATATATAGGCATCAGTTGGTTATTATTCAAGATGATCTTTAGAGATTGCCATAGTGTGAAAAAACCAGATTCATTGCCAAATACCACTGATGACATCAAATATAGACAGTTCTAGTAAATGGACAATAATATGTTCGTGGAAGCTTTATTTTTTCTGGATGATATGCTGCATAAAGAGATTGAAGTATTGTAACACTTAAGCGTATCAGACTAAATCCTATTGTGATCACTACGTAGGAATCAAATATCAGCCTATATAATCTGGTCTCTTTCTGAATTTTGTTGAAGCTTTCACTGTTTGAAGGCAGTAAGATTTCTCTATAGAAGATACGAGCATTCGGCTTTATGAGAATATATTGAAAGGGAAAGAGGACTGTCCTCATAGTCGTAGGGTTTTTCTGATTTATATATTCTATATTAAAAGAACAATATTTTCATGATATCCGAATGAGTAGCAGTTTGTATTTCTGACGTTTCGTGACTTAATATAAGTCACTTTTTCAGTATAAATAAATAACGGAAACAAATTAACAGAAGTTTAAATAGTATAATGGAAATGAAGCAGAATATTTCTTGTTCAATCAAAACCATAATAGGTCTGAACATGTCAATGTGTTATTTTTGGTCAAGGCGATTCTGTACGAGACATCATTGTGCTTATTTATGTGTATGATGGTGGGTATGAAAAAATGTGTAATTTAAAGTATAAAGTAAAGTTACAGTTTCAGCTTGTGTTTGTGTAGATTGTGTGTGTCAAACGTGGTTTTATGGATAAACAATTCAATTTTTTTATTTTGTCCCACCAAACTAAGCAGGAGAAGCCATGAGGCTTCTTGGGAAAAGAATAGAGCTTTTGCAGAGTGCGTGACTGGAGCACTGCAGAAAGCAAAGTAAATGGACATATCAGAAATTTACTTAGTTACATTTCTTGTATGAGTAGGGAATTCGATTTATATCGTGCAGATGAACACGTTAACAATCTGCACTTTTCTATCACATTTAGAAACCTTGTAGCAAATCAAAAGCGTTTAGAGCTATAATAAATACACCAGCGTGGGATGTTATACTGCCGCAAGTATGCGTTACATGTATATATAGAAGGCATAGATGGAAGCCTATACACTTCATAGTATACACATAAGCTTAGATGCGATCGACCCCAGACTGTTTCCCAGTGGTTACGAAACACTGAATGAATAACATGTAGTTAAATCAATCGGTTTGTAAATCGTTATTTGATGGTGTGATCTCTTCACGCCCATAACATAAGAAAGCTTAGTGTCGACCTTTTTGCACTGGTTACGGCACAGTTTCTGTTCATACGCTGTGACCCGCCCCTGCAAGACTTGATGGGGCTTTCCAGAGTGAATCCACCCAGGCACCAAAAAGCAAATTTTTCAGTTCTGCCTTTCACTCTTATCCATACAACACACTTCATTCATCAGATATTAAGACAGAGTGGATGATTAACCCGATCTTCACTGGTTTAAGTAAAGTAGGTGGTTAACGCGATCTCTACCTGGCCTCCCGTGTTAGCTCATGGACGTGGTTAACTAACATCAGGGCACCAAGAAGAGGTGCGAGCAGGTCTTTGTCCTGGATAAGTAGTCCAAGCTGGATGAACAGTCAGTCCTGTCCTATCGAGGGTAAAGGGATTTTGCATTATCTGAAACGCTTCGACTTTTCTCCTCTCTTTATAGTTGAAAAAACCTTTCTGAATTATTTTGATATTTTTAATATTGACTTGGTGGTTACTGAATAGAATATGTGCTGCTATTAGTGATTTAATTTTTAAATTTTTGAACTCTACAGGACTATTAGGTCTTTTTGTGTAGCTTGAGTGTTCGTTTTCACGAGAAGCCTCTTCAACGTGGAATACATCACTACCGATTCAACCTAGTCTGTGAATACAAATTTGCGTGGATCTAAAACTTTGATATTATTTGAACTTGCATAAATTTATTTCGGTTATTTATTTATTTACTTGGAAGAAGTGACTTCACATTAAATCACGAAACGTCAGTAATATAAATTTCTACTCATTGGGATATAACAAAGAATTATTTTATAATAATTAGCTTTTCTATTCAATGCTAAGTTTACTTGGAACTGTCAAGTCCGAATCTTGGTATTGTTATCTGTATTTTCTATGTTTAATTGTTTACTAATATTAAGTATTATTTCAATACGACGTGCGATGTTTGATGGTTTAGGACTAGGTTGGAAGAAAGCTAGGAGTGGCCAGACCAAAACATGGCACAAATTCATGAAGTCACGGACAGTTGAAGTGAGCCATGTTGGTAGGTGTAGACTACCTGGTTGGGATCAGCGAGATGATAGCAACCGATGGTTAGAGACCTTGAATGACATGGCTCCAAATCGTGTGCGATGGCGCATGTGCATCACCTCTGTGTTCTCCCAAATCCTAATCTTCTGAGTTCTTCATGTCGCTTTTCTTTTTCTCTTTCCAAATGTATTTCACTGTATTTTACTCCTTGAATAACGTCTTCAGACCCTAATGTTTGTGATTACTGCTTATACTTTTACTACCTCTACGTTTCAGTCAGTCAGTCAGTCACAACGTAGAACTTCGAACGTACGTACATCAGTTCCAGTTGCCACACCACATTAGCACAGAGATACATTTGTCGATTCAAATCCCGTAGTGGTAAAGGTAATAAGAGTATAAACAGTAATCGGGAAAATTAGTGTTTGGAGATGTTATTTAAAGAGTATAATACAGTGAAATAAATTTGGGAAGAGAAAAAAGAGACAAGGAGGAATAAGGAGATCAAAATTTAAGAGAACACAAAGAGTGTATGCACCTGCGCCATTGCACACGATTTTGAGCCATGTCATTCAGGGTCTCTAACCATCGGTTGCTGTCATCTCGCGGTCCCCAACCAGGTAGTCTACACCTACCAACATGGCTCAGTTCACTTGTCATTGACTTCATGGACTTGTGCCATGTTTTGGTTTGGCCGCCCCTAGCTTTCTTCCAACCTACTCCTATACCACTGAACATAGCACGTCGAGGCAGTCGGTCGTTGGGCATACGTAACACGTGTCCCATCCATCTCAACTGATGAAGTTTTACTACTTCATCAATTGATTTGCCATCCTTACCTCTACGTTTAGATAGAGTCGAATTTCCACCAAGGACGAGCTGCTGTATAAGTCGAAAAAATAAGTATAGACAGAGTAGAAATAAAAGAGAGTGAATAATGTCGTAGTAAATAATAATAATAATAATAATAATAATAATAATAATAATAATAATAATAATAATAGTAACAATAATAATAACAATAATAGTAATGATAGTAATTTGAATCATTCGATTGTTATTCGAAGCGAGAAAAATAGTTTCCATAGATATAGAGGGTTCATCATTTGCGTGTGGGCTGTGATACTGCCCGAGTACTCAGATCGAAGCAGGTGGTTATCTTAGGGGGCCACACCCCGAACCTTTGACCTAAAGGTCTAACCCACAAGAAAGTGGAGCAGTCTCATGGTTGCCGGTTACCGAAAATTGGTTCATACGCCATTTGTTCCCTCAGGATACTGGAGCCCATGTGCAACATTGGTTTGGAATCCGGTTAAAGCGCCAGACATTCGCTTTTCGTCCTCTCATTTTCGTAAACAACACCCCCGCCACGGGAAGGCAGTGAGTAGGACTTCCCTGACAGAGGCTTTATACGCGTGACCGTGTGAGAGTATTTCGAGAGGAAGGGCGAACCCACCCCACTCTCGGCCATACCAAGGCATTTGAGTGCTATCAGATATGGCTCAGAATAGAAGCTAGTGGCGATCCTGCTGTAACCTTCTTTTACTTTCTTCATAAAAAAAGCGGTTGTGTCTTCCTTAATTGAAAGATGTCTTCTGATTGCATCTTTCCGTTCCCCCATTTTTACCATTATTATTACACCACCTTGCACCAATGTCTTCGTTATTATTCTCTCCTTTTTTCTCCTTCCCGTTAAATTCTCATTGTTTTGTGTGGCGCATATATATTTGACGCATTCTTGTACCAATATTTATGTGTTCAAATAAATAAATATATAATAAATAAATACCTCTACCACTATGGTATTTGAATCAACAATTATATCTCTGTGCTAACATGGTGTTGCTACTCGAACTGATGTACGTACGTACGAAGTTCTACGTTGTTACTGACTGACTGACTGACTGATTATTTCAGTAATTTTACTATACCTTGTTTCACACTTATTTGAACTAAGTAGAATTTATTTATTTAAGTAAACTATCCATGTTACAGTGTGATTATATGTATGCCATGATTAATAAATTATATATATATATATATAT